ATGGGGAGGTAAAGCCATGACTAATGGAGCAGTGGTCTTCTGGCTCTCAAACCGAGACCTTGTGTTGAGCTGCGCTGCGCAGAGTTGAGCTCTGGGGCTGCTTTGCCACGCAATGCTGCCGTTTATTATGTAGGCTAGGAGTGTGGGCATGCCAGCTGGGTGAAATTAAGCTCTAGGCCCAAGGCTTTATTTTACTGCGAGTGTTATTAGTCTGAATTGCAGCATGCTGACATGGTTATACTGCTTTTGGAAATGAGCTGGCTTGCCTGGAGCACGGGTGGGAAAGTCCGTACAGCGTTGTGTTGTACCCTGCAGTCCACAGACCTGAGTCAGGAGTCTTTGGTTGTTTATTTCCTTTCTAAATATAAATTCAAGCAGGAGGTTGGACGCTTTTGTATTGCAGTGTTTTTGTTCACAGGTCAGCTTTATTAATAATGGTGGAGCTTAGGGTAAATGAAAGCAGAATACACGTTATGGTCCCTGCTCCAAAAACGAGAACGTATAAATTATCGTTGATTATTCCCCTGAGTTGTTATTATCAGTTAGTTCCCTTAGGAGGATGATGACAGAAATGGGTCATTAGAAGAATTGCAGATAAACTGATTGCCTTTGCAGATGAGCTCTCAAGAGATGTTTTATGGTTGGGGCAGTGTTGATGGAGACAGAGCAGTCTGCACGAGGAGAGGTTTGGCCAAACCTCTGGAGTGGGCTTATACGGCACCAGCCCAAAATGTGTCTGGCTTCTCGCAGCATTCCTTGATTGAGTGCTTTTCACTCTGGTATTAAATGCAGAGGTGTCGATATTTTATGTATACGTGAACATTGTTCAATTCACTCATACCACAGATGAAAGATGAGTTTAGAGTAAAAATGATCTGTAGCCAGAACTTCTGTTCCAAAGTCTATATGGAAAGGAGATGCGGTGCTAAAATTGGTCTCAGCAAAGTTAGACTTTGTTCCTGCTTCTTCACAGACTTTTGTGTAACCGTGGGCAAGCTGCAGTTTCAGACACTGCCAGATATTAAGAAGTCTCGCTCTTCTTCATGTCAGTGAGATAGGTGCCTGAATAGAAGGTGAGCACTTAGGCATTTTCAAGAATGTAAGCCTTAATCTCTCTTCTCCTTTTGTGCTTGACAGAGGTGGCATGAAAGTAAATACACTGAAGAGCATAAAGTGCTGAGATACCACAGTAATGAGGCCATTACTGAATCGGAGCATGTAATTAGATGGAAAATGTTTGCCTTCATAATGAATAGATGCTCTCACACATACATTCCTCAGTAAATTTTCAAGTTCATCCTTGCTGTAGTTCCACTAATTTCACCGTGTATCCAAGGATGGATTTTCCTTGGCAAAGCCAACCGAAAGGGAGAGATTTCCATCTCAGAGGACCAGACTGGACCGCAAGGAGAGCTAGGAAGTGTTTCCTGATGATACACCTAAAAAAGATGCTGCAAGGAGCACAATGCAGTAAGGGCAAATCACAATCTTAAAATGTAGTTAGTGAAGCAGAATAACAGCTCAGCCTCATACGTACCAGCTCTGCAAAGCAAATTTCAGATGCTAAATATATTATCCACACCTACTCTTTTATTTCTGTTCAGGCAAGCTTGATTCTTTTGGCTGGTAAAATACACCCAGTGGAATAAATTTGAGAAGAATGTGCAGCCTGATTTAGTTGTCACTTGCACTGGTTTTGTGCCTGTGTTTACATGGGCATGAACAGGGCTCCTAGTATTAGCTCTGCCCTGAGCATAGTCTCCCTCCAGCCCGCACGTTCTTGCCTGATTCAGATGATACCTGCAGAATCCCCACCGACCTTGGTACTGTATAGACAGGGCCTTGGTGCAGAATTATGTAGCAGATCTGATGTGTATTAAAGAAAAAGCCTAATTTTCTGACGTTGATCTCTGGAGGAAAATGAAGTATTAGACCAGGAGCAAATACAGAAGGTCTCATCTCCATGAATTCCTTGGTCTCAGCAGTCATTTCTCTTGTGTGTCAGCAGAAACAAGCCCCTTCAGCTTTCTGCCTCTAAATGGGATTGGTTTGGAAAATGCACTGAAATTATGTAGAAAATGTAAGCTTTCAATCTGAAAGAAAGAAAAATTTGAAAATTTGAACAGAGAATTGTACAAATTAGCTGCTTTTTTGTATTTAAAAATCAGCCTAGCAGAGATTTTTCACTATTTTGAAATCCCCTCCTCACAAAAAAAAAGGTGAATACATTAAAAAAAAATAAAAATCCATAAAACACCTACTCCCCACTTACTTTTTATTTCCAGGGAGTTTCCTGCAGCCTTAGACCAGCAACCAGGCCTTCCACGTGAGGAATGCTTCAGTGCACGTTATGGTTTGTCAGTGCAAAGCAAAATGACATCTCTACAAGTACTGCAAGAGATTGTGTCTGGTAGTTATCTTGCGAGGTTTCACATGGAATCATAGAATCAGAGAATTGTTTTGGTTGGAAAAGTGCTTTAAGATCACAGAGTCCAACCGCTAACCTCGCACTGCCAAGTCCACCACTAATCCATGTCCCTAAGCACCACATCTACGTGCGTTTTAAATACCTCCAGGGCTGGTGACTCAACCACTTTCCTGGGCAGCCTGTTTCAGTGACTGATAACCCTTTCAGTGAAGAAATGTTTCCTAATATCCAATCTAAACCTCCCCTGGCACAACTTGAGGCCGTTTCCTCTTGTCCTATCGCTTGTTACTTGGGAGTAGAGACTGACCCCCACCTGGCTACAACCTCCTTTTAAGTAGTTGTATATCGAGCTAGAAGAGAGAGTCCTCTCTTGGGCTTTGTGTTTCTGATGGGTCTGAAGTTGTTACAGAATTCAGTCCCTCAGCACCAGCAACACTTGAGTATTACTGTGGGAATTAGTGCACCTCTTGAGAATGCAGATCTTTCCTTCCCAGATACAATCAGGAAACTTTCATGTCAGAGCTCTGCTTTTCTGTCTAATGAGTAGGTCTTTGTTGGCAACACCTACTTCATCTCCAGTGTTCCGTTGGAGCTAATGATCGGACTGAACTTTCCCTGCAGTAACTCGATAGCCGTACAGCTGTGCAGGCTCACAATTTGCTCCTCGATTGTCAATCTCCTGACAGCTTTTTCAGTGGAACAGTTTGAGAGGAGCGAGGAGCCTTGCTTTGGAGACACAGAAGTGTTTTCACACCTGAAGTGTAATTTCACACCTTGTGTTGCTCAGTAGATAAGTGCGTAAAATAGCACATCAAATGGGAACAGAAGAGGATAGACATGCTGTAGACAAGAGATGGAGGCTTGTTATTTATTTCCTATCTATCTTCAGCACACTCTGAAATAATACTCACTTGCAGAAACCCAGGCACAGATTATGAAGGGGTTAGGAGGGGACTTTTCTAGCCAAGTGATCTGTTACCGTCACATGCAGAGTGAGTGAAAACATACTCTGAGCTGGGTCTGTGGAGCATTGTGACCACAGAGCTCCCACGGTATTAGTGACCACATAGCAGAGGTGAACTGATTAATACAGGTGGCAGCAAGAGTTCTAAGGGTGGTTTTATGGGAACACTGACTTGGACCATCCCTTCCCTGTATCTATTAGGCATTTTTACTCCTTATATTGACTTAAATAGTGAATAAAATTGACCTTGAGTCCACCAAAAAAGTAAGATGAGAATTTGGAAAAACATGATTTTTCGCATGAAACAATCATGTGAGATGAAATCATTTCACTGTGTATGCAGGTTTCCCTTTTCCTTTCCCTCTTTTCCAAGACCCTTTTAATTTGCTATCTCAAATAATAGGTCGTAGAGGTATTCTTCCAAAGGAAAGTGGTGGAGAGGCAGGTGCAGCCAAGAGAAGACAGCTCCAATGAAGCTTTGTTGTGAGTGAGAGGAAGGGAGGGTGCACACACACCATTTGATATGGAGAATCCATAGAGATGCTCAGTTTCTGTTAGGCTTGCTAGGGTTGAGAACCAGATTTCCTGCTCTTTCCAAGTGAGTAGGGCTGAAACATGCATCAGTTTCCTTCCTTTCTTCTCCCCAGCTGAATGTAAGGAAATCCAAGAGGTACTTTTACCTGCTGCTTCTCATCCCATGGATTTTACTAAGGAGAGCAGTCCAGCCCTCCTCTGTTATTCACTGCAGATGAAGCTGCTCTGCTTGGGGTTTTTTAGGTGTTTTTTGAGCATTTGGGACTTTCATTTAATCTTTCACCATGCCGAACATTGTTTCCTCTTCTTTGTCCTAGACACCTATGGAAAACTCTGCCTGCTCAACTCTGTGGGCCAGGAGATGTCTCGCTGCAAGACCTCCATCCGTCGAGGACAGCCCAACCCTGTCTACAAGGAAACTTTCGTCTTCCAGGTTGCCCTCTTCCAGCTCTCTGATGTCACGTTAATGATCTCCATATACAACAGACGCAGCATGAAGCGCAAAGAGATGATTGGCTGGATTTCTATGGGTCAGAACAGCAGCGGAGAGGAAGAGCAAAGTCATTGGCAGGAAATGAAGGAGTCGAAGGGGACGCAGGTCTGCCGGTGGCACACGCTACTGGAGTCCTAGTGGTTACCAGGGCAGCCTGCAGGTCCTGGGACCGTGGGCTGTCTTCCCTTGTTCTCAGTCAGCAGAAAACAGCCATCCCATGGCAGGCACCGTGCTCTGACAGGTTACGTACACTTTAACCTGACTTTTCAGTGTCAGCGGCATGGGTATTAAAGGTGGCAAGGCCTGGGAAGCAATTTATTTCTTATCTTTCCAGGTTGTCCTGCATTTTCTACATTCAAATAATTAACCCTAGGGAAAAGCAGTGGAAAAACCTACAAAATCCTCTCCTTGGTCATTGTCTCACTCATTTTGTCATAGGCTTAATCATCACGGACTGATTTTGATGCTGTTTTCTTCTGGGGTAAACTCTCTTTTCCCTCCCTCCCCTTATTTATATTAATGAAGGTTGCAAATATTCTTGACACGCAGATAGCTCACAGATAGGCTAACCTGCATGCAGATCACATTCTCTCTCTTTTATTATCGTGTTTCTCAGTCCTAGAAATAAGCACTTGATACCACTGTAGACTGGATGATACTTTTTTCAGGCAGCATGGGAAAGCATCTTGAATTCTCTGACAACTTTTAAGTGCCTAGACAGTACTACTGTTCTCCTGTACTAACAATTGGTATTAGGACTAAACACTATTGGTAATTTTAATTAGGCATCCTGTGCACTTGTTAGTCTGCATTGCCATAGGTTTGCACGAGAGATAACTAGCATCAGTTTTATATTGCAATTATACAATGCATGTTTAGAAGCTTACTTGAAGTTCATGGCTTCTTTCATCATGAATACCAAAAAAGACCAGAACAAGCTGCACATCCACCTTTGTGCCTGAATCACTCTTTTCTGCATTATTGTTTTGCCCGTGTGTTACTTTGTTTTTTAAAAGTGAGGTTTATTCAGAAAAGCATTTCTGTGAGCATTCCACAGGAAGGCTTTAGATCTGTGACTTCTCTGCAATTCAGTTAAGCACAAATCAGTTTGCTGAGGGCTCTTCTTCAAATATTCTATCCTGTAATATCTTCTTGGGATCTGAAAGGCGACTTTTTTTGGCACACTAGCAGTAGAGGATGCCAGACCATGTCACCTCATCTTCGGGGCGAGCTCTCCGGCAGGCAAGGAATAGGATCCAGGGGCCCCCCCAGCGGGGCTGCTGGCTCTGCTGAACTAACACCAAAGAAAAGTATTGCGCTTCCTGCCTCTGACTGAAAACGATGCAAGGAGCAGGCTTGCTGGATGAGGTGATGACACTTTTATGTAGTTACTTTTCAGACTATATTGTCATTTTGCATTTTAATCTTTTTTCCGATCTCTACGAGTTGAAGTTGTGGAGGCGATGGATAGGGGACATGTCTTAATCTGCTACTTGACTATTGAAAGTTTAGCAGTTGTTAGCTGTTGCGATGCTGTGTGTAACACAGCAGAGGATGTTAATTGTCTAGTGTAGTGATGATACGTAGGCAGCAGGGTGCTGAGATCTTCAAATACTATCAGCTGCCCTGTCTCCTGTTCCCCACGTTGTCCAAGAGAGGACTGGCATTTCCCCATGCCTGCTGATGATAGCAAGACATGGGAAATATTTCACTGAAAAGGTTTGTCTGTACTGAATCACTTTTTGTTTTGTTTTTGTCATTTACTGAGACCTGGCACCAAATTCTGCCTCCTACTGCACCACAGCCGTCTCCTTCCCTTCAACGGTGCTGTGCAAATCTAACTAGTGCAAATTTTGGCACTGGCTGTTTGACCAAAATTGAGCCTCGGTGCTGGTTTGCATCACATCCAGGCTAGCCAGGCCCCGCGGGGCAGCGGTGTGATACACATGGGTTATTGCTTCGTGTGATACACACAGGCTTTGTCTGTCCTCACGAGGCAGACAGAATAATCTGCCTGTAGAGGGACTTGGGGTATAGGTGATACAAATTACCTCCCGGCCATGGTTTTATATATTCTTATCACTTACCTGTCTGAGCATCATTTTTCCGGTGAGACCGGTGGGTATCCTATGCAGGAGGGTTGTCCTCCACTGCCTAGATAAGCTGGCATAATACCTGCTTTGCACTGCCGGGGCTGTGTATCGCAAAGCAGGATCTAACCCAAATACAGCTCAGCAAACAAATACATTTTTGACTGCACTGTTAATGCTGCTGTATTACCAATGCGAGAGAAAGTGAGCCTTTGAGTGGTAACCAGCAGAATAGAAATGGTTTTTTATTGTGTACTTTTCTTCTAGAAAAAAAGTAAAGGAAACAGCCCAATTCAAAAGGTGCATTTGCTGATTTCAGTTGTTTTCCAATCTCTGCATCTTTTTTCCTGAACTGTGTAAAATGTATATACAAGTGTTTATAAGTAATTTTATTATCTGGGATGTGTATGTATAATAAAATGAATGAGATTCTCTTCATAACTTCTTGAACCTGCAAAGTGTTGCTTATGCTTAATGATTAGCTAAGGGAAAAGTATAAGTTGATAATATGTTTCAGCAGTGAACTGGAGATAACCCAGATTTATAACAGTGTGATTGAAAAAAAATTCTTGGAAAAGATAATTTTAAAAAACCAATGAAGTAAACTGGTTTTGGACTTCCATGCCGTTTTCACGTCAAGATCTTTTCTGAAGATACAGCATTAACGGAATTGAATTTTAATATATAATTTCAGTGTACTGGGAGTCACAGGAAAGCAAGTGAAAATAGCTTAAATAGAGTAAGTTAATATCTGAGCACACGTTAAAACTTTGCTCTCAGATGGAAGCAGGTTGCTGCATCCTTGTGACAACATTTTGGCCTGATATTTTACCAGAAAACATTTGGAGGGAAGGGAAAAGGGATGAGGCAAGAGGAGCACTGGGGGGTTGGAGCTGCTGCTAAACCTGTTGGCACATCCGCGCCTTAAGCAGTGTATTTGTGGGGTTCATTAAGTTCCTACTGAAGCAATGGGAGGAATTTAGGGATCTTGGGATGAACACAGTGCTGGGGGTGCTCATGCTTGCTAGCTGTACTTCGGGATTTTTGTTGCTTTTGTGGTTTATTTTTCTTCTCAGTATTGACTGCCTGTGAAATGAAGGCTTTGCAGCAGCTCCCCCGTATTCCAGAGCTCCCATAATTCTTCCAACTGACAGATTGAATTAGTCATTGCTAATATTGATACAGGCTCCGCTCGTGCTCATGGTCTTTCTTATGTAAACACCACTGCCCTTTCAGTCACTGCTTTAACCCCTTGTTTTCTTTGGAAGTGGCTGAATTTCTGGAACGATTTCCATTCCTTGGGAATCTTGACTTGCGCTTGGCTCTCCATTGGTGCTGGTCAGTAGACTTGGGGCCCTGTGCTCTGCTGGCCTCCATCGACATGGATGCTGATGCTGATGCCCAATCGCTGTTTCTGTGGGGCTCCAGGAGGGGAGAAGAGTTGTGGGAGGGCCATGAGGAGTTCAGCGAGTGGGAAAGCAATGGCTGACCTGGTTCTGGGAATGCTTGCAAGTCCTAATGCTTGGAGGTTTTCTAATGCACTCAGGTTTTCTAAGACAATTCATCCCCTTTTGACACCACTGTCTGGTATTCCCTTGTAGCTTATTTGAATTTTCTTCTCTTGGGGGGGAAAAAAAAAAAGCCTGAAAACCCACAAAATCATTGTGTGGGAAGGAACTAACTGCGCTGGCATAAGCCCAGAATATTGTGGGCAAGTGGTCTGGATACATCTCTGTATCTCGAACAGCGTCGTTCAGCTAGTTGCAGTCTGTTCCTTCCTTGGTCTCTCTCCAGCCAGCACGCCCTTGTCCTGCTAGGCTCTGTGCTGTTATTTTATTTTTTGTTTTTAATGTGTATCAACAACAGAACAGAATGATCTCACCACGTTTATATTCCCTGTAATAATGCTGACTTTCAACTGATGCCCACAGAAATGAGTACCTCTTTTAGCCCACTGAGCTACAGCTATAGCTTACTGAAGTGCCCATTTGTAAAGGCTTTATCTGGATCATCTGCTATGTTGTTGGATTTGTTCGGGTTTCCTTTTTACCGATGTCTTTAATTACCTGGACCCTGCTGTTGCCTGCTCGCTCCCGTCGCTCTGGCTTGTCTGCATTTCCCTTGCAGGGTAATGTGGGGTGTGTAGCTCCTGGCGCACACGGACAATACTTGGATATATTTTTAGCGGCTGCAGAGCCCAAGAAGTTATTTGGTGCTTTACATAGTCAACTGATCTTCAGTCATGAATGCAGCCATGAATGTCTTTAGATGTTCTTGGACGCACAGAACCAAAGGCTGCCAGCTGCTATTGATCATTTCTCCAGCATAAAGCCTAAGGTGGCAGCTTGGCAGAGGAGCAGGCGATTCCTCTGGTGGCAGTTCATTTTCTCCTTCAATTGAAGCTGGCAATGACCTTGGAGCTAGCGTGCCTGCAGAGCTTGCTTTCCACTCCCATATTTATCATCGTCTTTAATCTGTGTGATCACTGCACTTCATCTCTCTGCCTCTCAGCTGCCTTCTGCCCTTCAGCACAAAAGGTGGACAGAAAGGCTGAGCAAAGAATACGGCCTTCCCTATCGCATTGTCCCCGGGCGCAAGGGGACCTGACTCCTGGAGGGGTCATCTTAAAGTTATGATGCTCATTATCAAGACCTTGACTCCCTGATCTCTAGTCTGTTTGTGGAGTTTGAAGCTTGTTGTTTGGGCTGTGATACTTTAATAATTACCGTTCACCTCAACATGGACTGAGTTAATGGCAGAGGAAACAACCTGTTCTGTATTTGCTTGCTGCTTTTTTTTTTTTTTTTAAGCATTGTGTTCTGTAGAAGGGCAACAGAGCCTGAAGGAATTAGTATGCAGGAGAATCCACTTTCCATTTAAAATACACTAAGTGTGATGTTTGTAACTATGGTTTGAGGGAAAAAAAAAAAAAAAAGCAGCCAGGGTTTGTAGAAGAGCTCACGCTTTGAATGAGGCAGGTTTTTTCCCTTCAGCATGCGCTACCCCAGCAAATACATTCTCATACCCCAGGCAGTGATGCTGGCTCGC